GTCTATAAAACAATCACAGCAGCCAATGTGCAGTAACTAATCAAAACCACCGAAGCTAACCACAGCGGTACTTCAAGCCCTTTTAAATAATAAAACCTCTTCTGCCGTGCCTTATCTACCGTCTCATCAGGAAGGAGCTAATTAGATTCTTCTCAAAAGTAAATATTGTCAGTTCATCGGTGGGTGGAGGTGACGGGAGGTAAGACGCGCTCGCTGTCAACATTGGCAAACCGAGGCAGAAAACAAGACAAAGTTGTAAAAACCCTATAAAAAGCTGCTTGAGTTTTAAAGGAGCTCGCTCCCGTGTAGGTGGTATCAAACCCTTCCCTTGCGGGGAAGGCAGAGCCTGGGGGGGACACGGGGTGGGATTTGGGGCTGTGGGTAAGGCAGCTCCTGGAGTTTGGGGCCACCACGTCTCACATCTCCTATAGCATGGCCAGGCCGTGGGCTTAGTCCCTTGTGGTGGCTTTCTTGTACTGCGATGCCTTCTGGGTGTGAATTCCCTCTCCGAAGCTCGCAGCAGCGTTTTTGGGATGCACTGGCAAATATTGAGGACTGGTATTTAGGGCTCTTGTATGGCAGGCTTGAAGGTAAGCCCCCCACAGCCACGTAACGAAAGGTTGGGCACGTGGTGGAGTGGGCGTGCGGGCGGTGTAAAAGAAGTGAATGGCTTGGGGGAACATAGCTAATAATAATAAAAAAGTGCTTTTCCCCCCTGCTCTTTTGATCCTCTGTTAAAAAAGGGATGGCAGGAGGAAGATCAATGTTTCCAGTTGAGTTTGGCCAACAAAACCTACCGGCTTCTTCTCCAAGGGATCCCACACCAAGGGGCAGCCCCAGGTCCTCGTCCTGGCCCCTGAAGGCTGCAGGGGGAAGGCTGTAGCCAGAGCCAGGACCTTGCTGCTCTTTGGGGACTGGGATTTTCGGCACGTGGGCATGCAATTCTCGCTGGGCTTGGGGCAGGTTTCAGCTCCGTGTTATTGCTGAACCCAACGTTGGCTACGAGCAGGCGTTGGGTTTCTTCACTTTCCTTTTTATTGTCACGTTAAGCGGAGAGCCGAGAGATTGATAGTCTCGTATAATGGAGGTAATTTTACAGAATAATACAAAAATGCACTTGCTTTCATGTAAACCACACCAAAAGGTAAGGGGATTTTTTTGTTTTATTTTTGTCCCTCGAGGGCTTTTCTCCTCCCCCATAGCCCCGGGTTCCTCCGCTTTCAGAGGGCACGCTGGAGTGTCGCCTCTGCTTTGATGTGGTTTCTAAAGTGTGCCTCTTCATTGGGCTCCCTACAGATGCCTTTATGTGAAACAGAACATTAAAATCCAAATGTGCCTGCTCCGCAGGTCGTTTTTCATCCTTTATGGGCGACGTCAAATATATTGCAGGGTTGTTCTGCTGCACCCCCGGCCCAGGAGGGAGAGGGCTCGGGAGGTGCGGGGAACGAGACGGGGATGGGAGCGGGGGGGTTCCTTGGCGGTTAAGCCCAAATTTCTCCCGAGTTGCTTCCTCTGGGCCTCTCCCCAGCTCTCTCTTTCTCTCCAGGTGAAACCGAAACCTCGGTGACTTCACCCAAACCCGCCGAAGTTAAAGCAAATTTGATATTTCTCACTTCTAGGTCACTTCAGTCCATATTGTTTCCTGCCAGGAGTGGGGGCGGGGGGGGTGGGGAAATGCCCTGCTGTTAATGGAAAAGTAATTACTGCTTTTTTTTTTTTTTCTGGCACGTCCATCGTGTCCCTCCAGCGTCACACCTAGGTTATGGCTCTGCCTCGAGTGCCGCCGCTCGCCGGTAGCCTGCGGGCTGCTTGCTGAACAAAACGGGCTGCTGGGGGCTCTTTGGGTGAAAATTACTTGGAAACCTTTTCTTATTTACATTTTTTTTTCCAAATTCCTAGAAGTAAGTTGCCCTTGATAGGCTGGAAGGCTTTGAAGGCATCGGGAGCATCTCTCCGGCTGCTTTTTGTGCACCGCTAGGAGGTGTGGGTCATGCGCTTTTACTTTCCCATTAGGTCCCAGGACTTTAAATCAGGTCAAAATGCTTCTCTTGATCAATTTTTGTTCATGAACCAAACTAAAACTCTGCAAAATGCAAAGTGTGGTGTTTGAATGTGGATGTTGAACTCTAGGTCTAGAGCAGAAGCTCTTCCTAGGACAGGTTTTCTTGACTTTGGGGTTTTGATTTGGATCTATACCAATGGTCAATAGATGCTACCCTGCACTTCTGTGCATCTCTGGAGGAATGCAGTAATACTTGAAAAGAGTTCAGAAAGAGACCGGGGAGCAAGCTGATGTCCCTTCTGAGGACATCTGCCGGGCCCTCAATTAGACAAATTCTGCATCCAGCCTAAAACGCTGCAAGTTGCATGCTCAGGGCTGAGACAGCGAGTTCAGAGCTAACGGCAGCATCCTTCTGAGTGTTAGCCCGGATTTTTCTTCTCCCACGGCCACTTTTCCTTCTGTGATCTTGCTACGCCCCGTTTAATGATCCGTGTAAAGTTCAATGTTTTATGTAAAACTTTGCGTTTTCCCAGTCTTTCATTTCTTCTCTTTCTAAAGGAAAAAAGATTACGTAAATTTAGGAGATTTTAATGAGTACAGCGGGCTGGCTTTTGGTGCAGTTTGCAGTGGATTCAGTGTTATAACTTCATTACGCTTCAGTTGAGTAACTTATGTCATAACTGGGTGTATCTGAGAGGAGAATCGGGCCTCGGATCTCTTTGTTGTGTGGGCTTCAGAAGGACCAAGCGCTTACTCCCCTTTTTGAAGTCCTAATTCTCTTTATATGGTGTCGCAACGTCTTTCTATAGAGTTGTGCCTCTGAAGTTAGAGATTTCTAATGCAAAAACCACCCCTTTTCCCCCACTGCTTCAAGTATTGACGTTGCGAGCAAAATGAGGATTGAGCAGTGTTAACGCAGGCCTTTTCCTGTGGCTTTCTTGCAGAAATCCCTATTGTTGAGGCTCATCCCTTAAGAGATCTCTTTAATATGCCTGCTTGGTAGTCCCGTTGCTTCTCTCCGAAGTGTTTGTAGTAAATTCAGCGCTACTACAGCTTTACAACCACTAGAGGTCAAGATTGCGCTATTGCACGCCAAGGGCTGTAACGCTTCGCTCCCTCGCTCCTTATCCTGCCGTAGCCGTGGCCAGTGTCAGATTAAAAGGTGTAATTTTATTATCAATCGCCGTGTTTGGCAATTAAGCCGACGCCGATCGGACGTGAAGGCGCGCGGAATGGGAAGGAGACTTTGCCTTACGGAGTGGTGGAGCCCAGTGGGTTTTGCAAGGCTGGAGATATCCGCGCCGGGCTTGTTTTTAATATTCTTCAGATCTAGGAGCTGCAGGAGTTATCTGGCTCTGGGGTGTTTCTTCCAAGGGAGGGATTCAAAAGAGAGCTGAGCTGAGAGCGGCTGTCAAAATAAAACTCACTCATAAATTCTTTTTGTGGGCTATTAATACTTTTAAGTGTTTACACGGAAATCATTCTGCAGGTTTGTGCTCTAGATAGAGACTTCTACTGCATGCTCTTCAGGTAGTAAAAGTAATTAGTGCTTTTTTTTGGGTTCCTTGCTTCTGATCTCCGCTCCTTCGTGGTTGTTTGCATTGCCCAAATTGCATTCTGAGCTGGTAGAACTTTGTGCGCGTCCGTGCCCTCGCTATTGCCATCCCTTTGTATCCTTGAAAACGTAGCCCACTTGAATTACATTTTCTACCCCCTTTCTTCTTTCATAACACTGTTGCAAAACCAGCACATCATCTAAGGGCCTAGTGTTTTGTCCGAGGTGGTTTTGCTGACACCGGTATCTGCAGTACAGCTTCTGGAATTTCGACTCCCTTCTGAAGTCGGGCAGGGCACGGGCCCTCTTTGGTTCTTGTTGTATGGGAGCAATGAAATGCTCGGATGCAGGTTTGGTTAGAATTGTAAGGGTATTGGTAAAAATACAGTTTATAGCAATGACTGAAAATAATATATTTGCTCGTTCTTTTTCAAAAAGAAACTCGTGCTATCCAAAGGAACTTTTTCAGGGGGAAATCTGGATGATTTCCATACATCTTTCTTCGCATATATATAAAATTATAGAAAAATATGGGAGAGTTTCTATAAATCGCGTGTATGTATCTGTATAGATTTCAGGTTTTTTAGTTCCTAGCTAGAGCAGAGCACAAACTCCCATGTGCAGAACCACTGCGTTTGCTGGCCTGGCCTTTTCCCCGTGTCCGGGACACGATTTGGCACTTGGAGCGCGAGCTGCGGCTCTGCGCCGTTTCCCCATCCTGCACTCGGGTTTGAAGCTCGTATTCAACCCTCGGACAATTGGGGCTGAGCAATTTGTCCCGTCAAATATTGTGCTCGGTAACAATGAGTGGGTTTTTGCAGCAGATCTCATGCACCAACCTCTGCTGCAAACAAAGCTCGCAGCGCGCCGAGGGAGCCGCACCGCGTCCACGCGTTGTGCGCGGTGAATCGCGGGCGCTTCTCCCAGCGAGGGCATTTTTTGCTTGAATACCTTTTACAGATCGTTCTGTAAATCAGCAGCGTACAATTAAGATCTCCTGGGGTACCACAAAAATGCTTTCAGGAACCTCTGGGGTCCAGATGTGGAATGTTTTGTGCTGACACGGGTTGAAAAGAGGAACAAATCCAACGGTTAAGTACGTCCTTTAATTTAGCCTGTGACAGTCACCACATGGCCTATGGGCTAATATTTCTGCATCTGTGCTGTAAATAGATCAATATGGCAGTATGATGGGTTTGGCATTTTGATTTGTGAAGAGTCAGAATATTGTTTGTATTGTTGCATAATCCCTGGAATGGTTTTGAAATTAATCTTCTGTTTCTCTGGAATATCTGGGTTAGGAAAAACACAACGTTTCGAAGTTCCATTAAGCGTGTGTTTTATTTTGTCTCATTTGTCGTATTTCATGACTGATTGCATCTTTTGGCTGAAAAGTAAATACGGGGATGCTATCATAAAACTCGAAATCTGCTTTTTTTCTAGGCACAGCAGCAAAGAAACCTGGACAATATTGTATCACAGCATCCCAGGATAAGCGGGGGAAAAAAGTCCAAGAAAGAAGTCTGCGCAAGCTCAGATTTGGAGGTAAAGACCACTAGCCCCATGTCTGAGCAGGATTCGGGTATCCTGGATGTTGAAGATGAGGATGAGGATGAAGAGGTAACTGTATACCATCAAACCCAGGAGAGGGACAGCTCGGGGGTGATCAGTAGTGTCTCAGTGCTTGCACCTGGCTCAGCATTTTGTGTCCCCAGGCAGCGCAGGGATGCGGAGGAGGCTGCAGAGCGTGGGTGCCTTTCAATATTGGGTCATTTCTCTGAATTCTGTGATTCTATTTGTTTTCCACTGCTGTCCTTACCCTTGTTAGCAGACTCAGCAGAGATGCCACACGTGACAGGAGAGCTGAATGGCCCCTGACTTCAGTCCTGCAGCTCCCCCGCTCCCTTTTTGTGCCCTTTTCTTACCTGGGGATGCATTTTGGTTTCTATCCTGAAGTCTTCATTTACAAGAAGATGAATTCCTGCGTAGGGCACGAGATGTTTGGTCTCATCTGTGAGCGTGTGTCTCGTGGCAGAGGCGCACTTGAGAAGATTTGTGTTGGGATGGGATTTTTTTAGGTGCAATTACAATTCTTTTATGTGTTTCCCTTTCTGTTGGGCTGGCTGTTTCTTTTCTGCAGCAATTTCTGATGCCTCTGCAGTCACTGCAGGATGCCCATACCTTTCACGGTTACATGGGAAGCATCTCTTTGACCACTTTGGTTCTTTTTTTCTTCTGAGCTGGAGGGTAATGGATGTCATGGAACATCTTGGATTCGTGCTGCTTGAAATGCAGGAGTCTGTCCCTCTGTTTCAGGAGAGGCAGTGCAAAGATACTAGCAGGGAATGTGGGCCACGAGGTGCTGAGCTTTTTGCTGCCTTCTCCCTTTCTCATCCTGCACTCTTGCCCTTTCAGCAAGTTCCACCTGCCACGCCGGGTACTTTTTCCCTTTTTGCTGAAGCCCCTGTTACATCAGGAGAACGATCTCAGCCACAACCCGTAACTGTGTCGGTCCATGTGCGTTGCCCTGAGCAAAGAGGATGAAGAACAAGCTTCAGATGTTTGCACTGGTGCGGATTTCCCAAGTGGTTGTGTGCTCATGGCCTGCCTTGTTCCCAGAGGTTTGGTTCTGTTCCTTCCTCTTCATCTTTGTGGCACTTCCACGGCAGACACGGAGGTGGCCACTTGCTCACAGGGACCCGGTGGTGGAGCACTGCTCAGCCCCCGTGCCCCGCTACTGAAACCCCCGGGCTGTGGGATTTCCCCTGCCTCAGAAGGGAAATAGAGCCAAAGAAAAACGAGGGGAAAAGGCACGGTTTGGGCAAAGAAGCACTGATTTGGTTGTCCTGGACCTCGGTGGTGACGGCTCCATCCCGCGCTAAAAATCTCCCACTCACCGTGGGTGCTCGGAAGCAGGATCTGTGTGAAACGTGGTCCTTGGCATGTGCCAGGCTTCAGCCCCACTGGCCCAGAGAGGCAAGATATTAAGGAGGGAAGGTCTCCGAGTCATAATTTGTATAGCACGGCTGGGAGAAACCTCGGACTAACGGAGTGGAGCTATCCTCGTGTCCGTGCCGAGGACATCTCATCTTGTGGTGCGGCGCAAACCAGGCTGGCAGCGAGCAAACGGGCTGGGTGTGGGTGGGATGGGGCTACCAGGGGGCTACCAGCGGGGGCTACTGGGGGGCTACCAGCCAGGAGAGCCCCGGTGGCAGCGGGGCTGGAGCTGCTGTCCGTGGTGATGAAATGGGACGGGCGGCAGCAGCGCCGTGAGCCCGCTCGGCTCCGGCAGGGCTGCGGTGCCTGCAGAGCCCCCAGCACAGAAACCCGGCTCCTCCCCAGGTTCTTAACCCCCTGGGGTCGTCTCCTCCTGGCAAAGAAAGTAGTTTGTTTGTTTGTTTGTTTGTTTGATTATTTTTTTATTAGAGTACAAACAGATCTCTGGAAGCGGAGCCCTAAATCTGGCGTGGTGTGCCTGGGGGTGGCTCAGCTCAGCAGCTGGGCGCCCACCCGGCTGCTCGCCCCCTTCCCTGACCCCACAGGCAGGGTGAGGGGGCTGATCTGAGGGGCAAAAGCAGAGAGCTCGTGGCGCAGCTGTAAAGAGAGTTTAATAAGCAAAGGGAAGAAAGAAACCCTACAAATGAGGCAAAGGTGATCGCTGACCACGTCCCACCAACAGATGGGTGCTCAGGCAATCTCCAAGCAATGGCCAATTTTTTGGGGGTAAAAAAAACCCACACACACCTCCTCCCTTCCCCTGTTTCGTTTGAGCATGATGTTCAGGGGTAGGGAACATCTCTCTGGGCAGTTAAGTAAAATGAAGTAGAATAAGTAAAATTAACTCCATCCCAGCCCAAACGAATATAGGTGTAAAATCCTAATGCCAGGTGTAAAATCTTAATGCCAGGTTCTTTGGTAGGGTTTCTCCGTGGCGGCAGCCCAATGTCAGTATTGCTGATACTTACACCCAGCTTTCCATCTTCTAGCATGACCCCTTCTCCTGCTTATCTCTGTGTAGTGACAGAGGCAGAGTTAGAATAAAGTTAAGGCAAAGTTGGAGGCTCCGAAGTTAATCCCAGTTGCCTAAAATTGTTTGTGGTAGGTGTCCTGAACTGCATCCCGTTCCCTGCCCAGCCGTGCTCTGAGCCTGGAGGGACACAACCGCTGCAAGTGGGCACGTATTGTTTGCCATGCTGTGCCCCTCATCCTTTTTCTTCTCAAGAAAACGTGGAATAATACTGATAGGAAAACGCAGAAAAAGCAAAGACAGCGCCTTGGAGAATGAGGTCAGCAGCCAAGTAAAGACACGAGCCCGAAGCATCCGAAGAGCACACTGGTGGCTTTTGCTCCTGACCTGACACAGACAAATATCCCAACTGCAGGTTTGGGTTTGGAAGACGGTCGGTGATGGCTGGGGAGGGAAGGACGAAGGGTGCATGCACCTACTGCTATCCAGGACTGAAAACGGGATGAACCTCGAAGCGTTTCTGATTAAGGTTTTGGCAGGAGAGCTCCTGATCCTGGTCCCTAGGCCAGCCAACGCTGGAAAAAGTGGGTTTAATACAATATTTTTTTTCCCTTTAGGAAATATCAGAGGCCCTTCAGCAGGCTGTGAGAAGGAGTTCTCCACCTGGGGTGGATGAGCTCTTGTAGGGATCTCACAGCTCCTCACGCATACTGGCACCATCCCTCCCTTCGTGCAGCAGAATTCAGAGGAAAAGGCTCAAAAGGGACAAAAAGCAAAAGAGTTCTGCTTATACGGTTAAAAGCATCGTTATGTCGATCCTTCTCTCTCTCGGGGTAGCTCAGGGGAGCTCTGCCAGCTACGTTCAGGAGGAGCAATCGGAGGCGTGGTGCTCGGCTCTGTGCCAGGTCTGCATTTCGGAGGCGTCGCAGCCCAGACGTGGCCCACGCGAGCGCAGGCACCCTGCGGGGTGGGAGCTGCCACCGTGATCAGAGCAAGAGCGTGGGCAGAGCTGGAGAGTGAGCGGGGAGAAGACTCAAATTGAGTTTTTATGAAAGTCAGGAGGCAGAAGGAGGATCAGCCTCTCACACTGAGCTGCTCCACGGGCTGTTCTGTCTGTGCCAGCCGCTCCCTTTGTAGTAAAAAGCATCCAGAAAACTACAAAGCTCGTCCAGATTCTTCTCATTTCCAGTGCCTTTCCCTTTGTGATCCTGGGGAGTACATCAGGACAAACTCGCCTGCATTCTCATGTCTTTTGTTCCCCCAAAGGCTGGCCAGGTGTCCGTGAAGTGGTTGGGTAGAAGTGGACTCCCTGGTGCTCCTCTGGGGGAGAGGGGAGGCTTTAAGGACGGACATCGAGCTGCAGAATAACAGCCCCTGGGCTCCGATTGAAGAGCAAATCAACAAACTCCAGACGGTTTTCTGTTCAGAGAGGGAGTCTGGCGCTGAGGACATCAGCAGGTGCGAGGTGTAGCCAAAACTCGTCATGCTCCTGGCTTTCTTCCAGGTGGCCCTGGCTGCAGGAATCGGTTGTAATTCTCGCGGTGAATGTCCTCGGTCTCTTCCCAAGTTTTGGGAGCTAGAACAGGGACCCCGGAGAGTTCCCTTGACGTTCCCTGATAAATGGCTGTGTTAGGTGCCATCAGTCGCCAGCTTCTGTTCGCTTCCACGAGTAATTGCACAAAAAAACACGCCTTGGACACGGAGAAAAACCTTTCTATTTCCAGACAGAGCTGTCTGCCTGCTGTCTATAACGTCAGCCCGGGTGAGATCAGTCTGCAGGGCGCTGTGGCTGCTTCCAATGTTACACAGTCTGAGCATCCTCTGGACCGTGCGAAGACGTTCAGTTTTTCCCAAAGGTTAGGACGTGGCAAGCGCTGGATCAGAGGACACCGAGGCCACGCAACGTGTAGCAGAGCTAAACCACAGCTGGTTCTGGGCAGCAAGGGATCAAAAAGCTTCCAAGCTGCCAGTAGCCAGAGACGAGGTGAGGTTTGTTGAAGGTGCACAGAAGCAACGTTTCCTCCTGCAGTTAAGGTTTGTTGTTTAAGGTGAGCAGACACTTTCTGCACTGAAAAAAACTGTGGGTGTCATGTGCAGGGACCCAAGCCTGCTAAATATCCTTGGTTGGGCTTGCGCCTTTGTGGCTGCACCCCTGAACCCTTGTGCTTGGGTCAGTGGTTCGTCACCGAATGATCCATCAGACAGCTCATAAACACTTCTCTTGGGTTCCTTCTGTTCAGGTCTGGATTCTTTTTTCCTTACTGAAAGAAGAACAAATCTGTGTGTTGGTGTCGTGTCTTTACAGCAAAAAGCAACAAGGATCAGAGATTCACACCCTTGTACCACACCTTCGTGTAAAGCCAGACCAGAGCATCCCTCACCTCAGACTCGCGTTGATGTCGGCTGCAGATGAGCACTGAAAACGTGGCTTGAATGGGTTAAACTTGCTACAGTCAGCGTTTAACCCAAATGAAAGAGTTCTTGCAGAAAGAGAGGGTTTGGCTGTTTACAGAGACTGACAGGTCTGCCTGCGCTCCCAGCACCGGGAACGTGCTGGATGCAGAGTTTGGGAGGGAGGTTTGTGGAGCTGATGTTTGCGGAACGGGAAAATTCTGGACAAGATGAATAAATTCTTTGTTCTGCAAATTAAAAGGGAAAAAAAAAAAAAAAAAAAGATGAGGCAGAAGCGGAGATGTCAGGGGAGCAATCAGTTCTGTTGTTGAGGGGGCTCCTAGTTCCCATCGCCGAGTTTCCAAAATCAAAGGTTTGTTTATTTTTTTTGTTTTGTTTGAATGCTGGTAACGCAGCATTGGCTAGGAAAACGAAATCACTGCTGAAGGAGACGTGCTCAGTCTGGATGATGAGATATGTCCATGTCCCATGTTCTGTACGTTTTAGGGCTGCTTTTCCTTAGGAATTGCACTGTAGGTTTGTGCTCTGCAAAATCTTAGCACAGGCTTTGCTCTCGGGTGCGTGTCCAGGCTTTGCGCATCCGCCTCTGATGGCTCTCTGACTAGATGAGGAATTATTGATGTCTCAGATATTAACTCTGCAGAAGAGTCCAGCCTATTTTATTTTTTTTCGTGAGCGTGTGTGTGGGCTTAAAAGTTTTTGCAGAAGATCAGAGGCTGTGCAAATGTTGCAGTCTGCTTTGAAAGAATTTCTCTGGGGGAGTAGGCTCCGTTTTTGGCAATACCCTGATTTCACAAATCTTTATCAAAAATATTTCTCTGTGGACCTTGTTCAACTAGTGCCCCGAATCCAAGAGGAGCGAAAATGTTTGATCCTGAATTCAAATTCGCAGGAAAATATCTGCTTTGATGGTGTTGTGAAGGGATGACAGACTGCTCCTCCCTCACAAGAGCCCAGGGTGGACTCGGGGCCAGCTCCCCCACGCTGCTGGTGGTCGCCAGAGGATGGCTGGGTGAGCGTGTACCGGTGCTTCTCTGCCTGCTTTGGCCATCTCTAGTGTTGCCATCAAGGATTTGTGAGCCAGAGGTGTTTTACAGACTGGGGACCAATTCATTTAATGCTGTAGGAGTGCCCCAAGGCGCAGCCTGCATCCCAAGGAGTCCCCACAATAGCAAAGCCCAGGTCTGGGAGCTATTTAGGGAGCGTTGGAAGGCCTGGGAGGCTGTAAATGGAAAAGAAACGAGCAGGAAGACGTGATAAAATTGGAATAAACACAATAAAAGTGCTGCCTAGCGTTTGCAGTTGTCAAATGGAGATGTCTTTAGAAAGGCAAAAGCAGGAGCTGGCGGTGAGAGGGGTGCTCGGTGCTCTGCTGGGCTCAGGTTCAGCTGCAGCCCTGCTGGGGCTGTTCAAGAGGCAGGTTCTGCTTGGGAAGGGCTTATTTGGGCAATGCCAGCCTTGTCCCCTGCTCGGGAACCTTCCCAGTTCCAGGAAGCCAACTGCCCAGCTGGAAGAGCCGCTCAGGAGGCACAACGAAGGGCTTCGTGCCCGGGAGGCAAGGGAAGCCCAGCAAGACGTGAGCCAAACCCCTATAAAGCTGTTGGCTGCCTTGTCCCCAGTGAGCCAGCACACTGCTCCCCCTCCCTGCCCTCCTGTGTCACCACCGCTCGGGAACTGTGCAGTTTTGGGGTCTGGGAGTGATGCTGGTGGTGTCCCCATGCCCCTTCACCAGCAATTTGCCTCATTTCAGCTCTTAGCAGGAACCCACGCAGCGTTTCCTTGCACAGAGGGGATTCCTTAACAGCGCCACGCTGACATTGTACAGGAGGCTTTTGAACAAAATCCCCGGCTTTCCCTTTCCAGCCCATAACTCCTGCACTCCCCTGCTTGGAGCCATTGCTTTAGATGAGGACCGCTCGCCCCGGGCGCTTCGGGCAGCGTTGATTGCGGCTTGCACGTCCTTATCCAGCTCGAAACTTCTCTGCTTCATCCTACCTCCTTCGTAGCAGAAATGCCTCTTAAGCGTAATTAAAAATAAACATGTTTCCCAGGCCTGTCCATTGGTCCCTTTCATCTTTCTCCCCTTTTTTCCACCGCATGTCAACAGAACACTCCTCTCCTCTCTGGATTTTGGGGGAGAAGGAGGTTTGCTTTAGCTTTATGCCGTGGCCAACAAGCTTAATGTTCTGTTGGCTTGAACAGCTCCAAAGGACACGAGCTTCTTGTATGCAAATTTTCCCTCTGATCTTCCTCTCCCCCTCCCTCCCTCCATCCCACCCTTCAAAAATTCACTTCCTTGTCCCTCTGCAAGACTCGCTGTTGCTGTTGAAAGGTGGTGGAGTCTGTGTGGCTTCTTCTTTTTTTTTTTTAAAAAAAAGAAAAAAAAAAAAGAAAAAAGAATTTGTGTTTTTAAAGAAATCAAACCAGAAATGTAGAAAATATATAAATATAGATTTGTCACGTTGCATAGGTACCAGAATAGGTTGTGCCAGGATGCTTGACTTGTATTTAAGCCTGTGGTCCTAATGAAATCTCTGCTGAGCTGACTAACGGTGCAATGCGATTTTGTAGGGCAGTGGAATCAGAGCAAGAGTGAAGTGAATATTTTCTACTGTCAGAAACTTTAAAAAATGTACAGATTTGTAGACAGACAGCGATAATGATTAGTTCTTACATCCCTGAAATCTCGGTGTCTCTGTCAGCCATGCACACCTTTGGGGTGCGCGTAGCTCCCCGTGATACATCGCACTTGCTCTTTGCTTTAAGGTTTCACGCTGACCTCCTGCTGTCTTTCAGGTGCCTGGGGCCCAGGATCTGGTGGACTTCTCGCCTGTGTACCGATGCCTGCACATTTACTCCGTCCTGGTGAGTGAATCCGTGCCGCGTGTGAGCCTGGGGCTGACACTTGGGATTAAATAAGAGGTTGGAGAGCTGCTCCTCGTGGCGCTGCTGCCTGGAAGGAAGTGGTTGCGAACCGTGCGTGAAAGTGCACCGAGCTAGGAAGTGCCTTACCTGGCGTGGAAAGGAGGCCGGTGCCTGCAGAGCTGGATTGATTCGGGTAAAAACCACACAGTTACTTCATACAGGCCACAGAAATATGAGGGGATGCTTGCTGCAGCTATTGCAGGCCTCGGGTTTCTAACAGGCCAAAAGCATATTTCTTGGTCACACAGGTTTTCCTGGAAGAGTTCTCCTTTGACCACAGAAACTTCGTTGTTCGGTGCAAATGGAGGAGTTGGGGAGAGAAAATGATTTTAAATCTATTTCTTGTTGCACTGAAGAGAGGTTTGTCACCCTTGAAACACTGTTGGAGGGGGGCAGATGCGCTCCTCTCCTACCCAATCTGCAGTTTCACTGCGTCACTTCCAGTTTCCCTGATATTTAGGCTTTTTCTCTGTTGCATGCACAGGAAAATAAGGTTAAACTGAAGGTTTTGTGTTTGGTTGCTGGCTGTGCAGTGCTGTGCTAGAAAGTGCTCGCTCTGAGCATTGCCACGGCCTTGGGAACTTGTCAGGAGAGCTCCCAGCACTGCGGACACGAATTCTCCCAGGAATTGCAAACACATTTTCACATTTCTGTTCATTTGCTCAAAACAAGGGCAGACCAGATGGCCTTTTGTAGCTTGCACTTCCACTTTTAATTTCTAAGATGCCCTCAGCTTACGAGTCTTGCAGCCTGCAAGTCTACCAACCGAGGGAACCTGTGCTCTCCGCGTCTGCTCCCCAACGCGGGCAATGACGTCTGCTGCAGAGAGCGAGCTTTCAGAGCGCTCCGCTCCTGCGGTTGAGCAATCTGAAGCCCAGGCAGTACATGAAAGGAGTACTCTGTTAGCAGCTTTCCTCCCTTTCCACAGCGGAGCCAGGCTTGAGAGAGAATTGTTTTTTAAGGCACTTCTAAAGCCGGGCTCTCCAGCAATACATACGAATGAATTTGCAAAAGGAAAAGAATTGTCATAAAAAACATTTCTCTAAAATCTTTTTGTGCCCTCATCTGTTAATAATTATGTCATTTGGCTACGTTGCCGTGATCTTTTGGTGGAATGAAAAAGTTAACCTCCCCAAAATGTGTTACTCTGTTTATCTTGGACAAAACCTCCTGCTCAGAAACGGCGCTGGAAGCCCGGTTCAGGGAGTGTGCTAATTGAAGATTACAACTGGGCTGAAATGCTTTGTGGATTTCAAAGTGTCACTTTATTTGGAGAAACTTCAGTGAAGAATATGTCTAAGGAAAACAGGCTCAGAAATCCTATTTGTGTAGCTTACGTGCAGTTTTTTTACTGCAGGGTTATATGGCTGCCTGTTTATGCATAGAGCTCTTATGGGAAGGACGAGGAGTTCTCGCTGATGGGTACAGCAGTTGTTTTGTGCAGTGGAAATTGTCTTTTTTCTGCAGTTTTTTGGACTCGGGGCTCGGAGGAGCACTGGGTTTTGTTGTTCTGTTGCTTTGCTTTTCTGCCTTGGATAGCAGTTGGCTGTGTGGTCCTCCCAGGTGTTTTAGGGAAGAGCTACAGAAACCAGGCTTCATGGCCAGTGCTTTGCAGGAGAGGGTTTTGTCCCCATCCCCTGTCCTGTGCCGAGATCACTCCATCCTTCTGCTCCTACTCTCTCCTTTTTCGGTCAAAAGCCCCACTAATGAGGAAAAAAATAAAAAAAAGCAGAGCTCTGAAGGTGTATAGGGAAGACAGGAGCAAGAGACGAAGGCAACTAACCCTAGGAAAGGCTCCTGAAAAGAGCCCTGCCCTCTTTCTGACCCGTGATTGAATCCCGCGCTGGCTTTCTAGGCCCAACCGGAGTTGAACAATGTCAAAGATCCAGCAAACGTCGAGGGAAACGGCCACATCAGTGTCAGGCGGAAGGATCATAATGTAATAGTTACCAAAAAATCCTAATATTTGTCATTTACAATAGCGTTATCTAAATGCTTGGCCTGCAGTTAAAAAGGCCCACGTTGAATAAACATTGAGATATTTATTATTTTTAGTGAAATCGACCTTCCAGTCACCTCGGTTTTATGGCTGTGCTGCTTATAAATTCCCAAAGGATTATTTGAAAAATCCTACTCATATCTGCCAGCCTTATCAGCAGGGCAGGAGTTCACATATTGTAACACGAGGTCAGCCTTCGGTCATGGTCTTACAGACGGGGCCAGGCACCTGTAAATCCTTCCTTCAGCAACCAAGGCGAAGTACAATATCAAACAGGCAAGGAGACTTTTCCAGGAAGCGCTGAACTTTCTCAGGAAGGGCAGAGGAGGGGGAAAGAAAGTGAACAAGGGTCAGGCGGTGGTTAATTGAGAGCCGGGCCTTGGCGCGGCCGCGGCAGCGGGAGGACAGGCCCCGATGGGATGCTTTATGGGACTATTCATCGGCGATTCCTTTTCGTGTGGGAAATGGCCCGGCTGGCGGTGTCTTGAGGAACAAATGGGCGTAGGTGAGGCTTGGAATCTTTGCGGGGATGGAACAAAACATCGCAAACATCCCAAGTGTGACTTGCAATTGTAGGTCGGGATAAGCAAACAAGGCCGCCGTGGGGAATAGCTGCGAGTTCCCCTTGTGACTTCGGTGTAAGCCAGTTGGGTTTATGTCCCCTAACGACAGGTCCTTACCCTGATGGTGGTTTCTACATGGGACAAACATGCTCTGAATTGCATGAAAAAAGGCTTTTTGGGTGACCGATATGGTTTCAAGTTGGCATAAATCCATAGACATTAAACAACCTTGGCGTTTCAGTGGGCATCCTGGTGAAAATACAGTAGAAAAACGTATCCTGCCCCTTTCCCAGGAGGGAAAAAAGCTGGATCCAAGGCTACAGGGATTGTCCAGAAGCCAGGAGCATCGTGTGAAAGAGTAAGAGGGGGAGGCAGCTCCCTGGTGCCTGTCCTGGGCTCCTTGGTCACTTGGCCAAAGTTGGGGTCTGGCTTTAGGGTGTCCTAAACACCGAAACCTGCCTAGTTTCTGTTCAACAGCCATGTGCTATTTAAGGGCATGCATCTCGAGTGTGGTTACGCTGCTGGGCTGTTGGTATCAGGTACAACTTTTCTTTGAGTTAATGGAGAAGTTTGTTGAGAATGGTAATATTATTATATAAAGAAGAAACAAGAATATTTCAGTGGAGCGATTTTCCCATTGACATTTTTATCTTTTATGTTGTCTTTGACCAAAGTCTATGTAATGCTCAAGTTGCTTTGATCGATCTCCAAAATAAATTAGCAAAGGTGAGGTTTGGGCCAGCTGGTTTATCTGCCGGAGCATCTGAACAGCTGTTGGGAGCCTTGTATTTCAAGGCCAAGACATGGAATTGCTTTGCTTTACATAACATAAAATGAAAAGCAGTTTTTGTTTCATGTTTCCCGTAAGCTGCAGCAAGTCAGAAAGCGAACAGTGAACGAAGAGCAGAAAGGAATTAAAAACAAACAAACAAACAAATAAAAAAAGGTAAAAAAAAAAAAAGAAAAGTGGAATGGTTTGCACACAGGGCGCTCCCAAGCAGTGGTTTCTGAAGCAGATGACAGTGATTTAAGTCCTTTAAGCTCCTGCTTCAGCCAGCGCTGTTGGTGCTCAGGGTTTGTCTTAGCTAGGTGGTGTGTGTTGTTTTTTTGTTTTTTTTTTTAAAGCTTTATGCTAATTGGTTACCAATTACTTTGAGGTTCTTAACAAGTTCGTGAAGACACTGGTATTGACACTCCCAGCTCTTTGATCCGAGCTACAAAGGGGTCATTTTAGGGTAACGAACAAGTGTCCAAGAAAAACCCCACCACCAACAGCAAAAAAAGAGCAGATTCTGCTGTAAATACCGACTTAAAAATGTAGCTGCCTCCTAGCCGATGAAGTATTTCTGGAGAATCCCAGAGCTGGATAATTTAGATAAATAGCAGTTGACAGGTATTTACTATAAATTTGTCATATCTTGCCACTGACGTTTTTATCAGCTATATTGCTTCTACCCAAAGCCTCCCTGACCCTAAAGCTGCTTTGATGCACAGAAATACATTAGGAGAGGTAAGAAAAATGCGAAACAAGTGAAAAACAAACCAAACCTCTATTAAAAAGAATCAACCTATAAAGTCTGTGAGCTGCCCGCATTAAAACACAGACGTTGTGCTTAGGCTGCGCGCACTCGCTAAGTTTTGGCTTGCCTGTTTTGGTGATGAACGTGAGGTTTTTTTTAATATCTTGGTATTTCTCTTAGCTCTGCGGAGCCAGCACGGCCTTGGGAGCAGAAGCCAGGGCTTGCTTTTGCTTATCACTAAAATTGATCGCTGCATTTTGACCGAAGAATCCGTGCCGGGGTTGGTAAGCCCCGAGGAACCCTCATTTCCAGGGGACTCGTTGGGCTGAGCGGGGGAAACGCCGTGCCGTACGGCGGCGCACCTGAAGGGGGAGATGCCATAAATGCAGCGTATCATCGCTCTCCTTCCAGCCCCGAGCTCTTGGATGGCGTTTTTTATTCCTCTGAGAAGCGTGCTAGCCCTCCCCTTGCTGACTTTGTGGTCTCATAAATCCCGGGCTGGTTGCTCCTCTGCTTGCCCCCGATCTGAGCGCTTGCGGTCGGGGCCCCGAAGCCCACCCTGGCCGGGGGGGCTGCGGCGTGCGCACCGAGATGTTTGCTCTTTGTTAGCCCTGCCGAACAATTGAGGTTGTTCTTTCAAGGGGAGAGAAAGTCTCGTAGAGGAACCACAACTTCAATAATAAGAACGACCCAACCCTCTCTTGCACATGAATGCAGCTCTTTTTTCTCTTTGTAAGGCGAGTTGTTGCTTTTATTTGATACTGAAACACGAACCCTACCGTGGAAAGGCTGTGGCTTACTTCTATTTTGGAGATCGGGGTTGTAAAGTTTTTCCTTCTGTGTCCTTGGGAACTTAAA